GTATGTTGTTTTCAACCCAGATCTGCTCAATAAGGCCATTTAAAGCTTCACGCATCTTCTTAGCCCTAGCTCGCGTGACTGGACCTCCTTGGCTGTGTAATGGATCACATGACGTAGTAGATATGTTGTTGTCTTGATTCCCATCACTTTTTTCTTTGGTTCGTTTCAGAACTTTATAGAACTTATCAAGATTATTCTTGTGGCGTTCTAACCTGACTTATCATTCTCGTTCTTAATCGCTCGAGAGTGTGGCGTCAACCAACTTTATACCTCTGGTTCTTGTTGCGTCATAGACAACGGGTCAAGGTTTTTACCTTTGGTTCTTGTTGCGACATAAACAACGGGTCAAGGTCCTATCATAAACCTGATTTAGCTTTCCTGGAGTTTACAAATCCCTTGTCGTGCTGTGGGTCTCATTGTTCTCTTTGGGGTTCTCATCAGTGTTAGTTTCCTATTCTGATTAGAATTACTTTTCCCTATTTAAAGAGGCTTGTAACCCTAATTGAGGAGGCTATTGAATCTGAGATTTTGAGAGACTTTTCTCTTTGGTTCGTTTCAGAACTTTACAGAACTTATCAAGATTATTCTTGTGGCGTTCTAACCTGACTTATCATTCTTGTTCTTAATCGTTCGAGGGTGTGGCGTCAACCAACTTTATACCTCTGGTTCTTGTTGCGTCATAGACAATGGGTCAACGTTTTTTTACCTTTGGTTCTTGTTGCGACATAAACAATGGGTCAAGGTCCTATTATAAACCTGATTTAGCTTTCCTGGAGTTTAGAAATCCCTTGTCGTGCTGTGGGTCTCATTGTTCTCTTTGGGGTTCTCATCATCGTCTCATTGTTCTCTTTGGGGTTCTCATCAAAAGTAGTCAATACCGTACTGGCATACGTACTGGTTTTGCTACTGAAACGATATGTACCAGATACTGAAATTTTTCACATACCGTTTCGGATTTATCGCTATAAATATATATTTTTATAAATATAATCCTTTCTTTCAACCATTAACTTAAACTCCAATATAACTCAAACAAAAATCCTTTGGATACTTTTAAGTTAAAAACATTAAAAGTAGCAACAACTGGATTGCACCACCAGCGAAAACTGCAACATGAAATTGCAGAAATTGTAGAAATTCAATTTGAAATTACAAGCCCCTAGCCCACGAATCGATCTCCAAGTCCAAGATCTAAGGCACCCGATTCGCAGAACAGGAAGGAGTAGCAGTTGCACACCCTGCACCATCGGTGAAGAGGGTCAGATCGGAGGACGGCAAGGCTATGCAATGTGCGATACTGTGATCTGAAATTGCAAATTTGCAGCGAATAAAAGCCCTTAGCCAAAACAACGTCGTTTTGGGCTAGGAAATCCTTCTTTCTTTTTTTTTATTCATGCATAATGTGTACCGGCCGATACATTTTTGGCTGGTACATCAGATTTTGACCGAAATGACCAGATTTTGACCGAAATGATTGAATTTTGACTGAAACAAAAATTAATATTATCCCATTTTGGTCTGCTTAGAAAACCGATATGGTACAATATTTACTTCACTGGTTTGAATTCATTCATAGTTTTTTAAGAAATTATTAGTAGAAATAAAATTTTGCCATAAGAGAATGACTTTTCATAACCAATTTTAGATTTTGTATAAATCTTTATACCACAAGTTTTCGTTTGTATTCATATAACTCATGATGAATACCACTTGTAATGTAAGTTTCACATCATATGTTTGGACTATTGTTCAAAAAATTTTACGTTACTCGTGATTTTAATTCTACTTGGATCCTTTCTTATCATATTGACCAATAATTTCTTTATTGATAGTTTTTAATGGATGTTAGTGTAAGATACTCCTTTTCATTAACTATGTCCTTTACTATTGCATATGCAAAAATATTATCAATAATAATTTCATTTGGGTTTATCCTTTTCCAAGAGAGCCATAATTCATAGAGTTCTCATCATTTTCTATAATTTCAAAAATTCTCATTGTTTTTAGGTGCTTGACCATCTTATGAGGTAGTTTCCACAATAACTCTTCTAGAGGTATTTATGATTTTCACAATATTAACTTTTTGCTTTTACTTTCTCTTCATTCTTAAATTTTTATCCTTATAACCATTTATTCTAACAGCTTTCTAGCGAGCACATAATATACTTATTTGCTAATATTTTAATAACGTTTCTAATACTAGCAAGAGTAATTAAAACTTGGATATTTGATTTACTTTAATTTTGTCAATAGATGCATCCAACAATTAAATTTTAAAATTTCAATTCATATCAATTTATTCAAAGATCTTAGATGATGCATCTTAAATTAGCTCTTGCCTTCCCAATATTTAATTAGGCTTATGACTTTTGGCTCAAAATTGATAATTAGCCTAAATCCACCCAAAACTAAAACCGTTGGGTCAAGTCAAAAAGATTTCGATGGGCTAAAGTTGGGCTTCAATTACAATTGAAACCTAATCAGTCAGCTATTAGTTTCTGAGCCCAAAAATCGATAACCACAATGGTAGGTCCAGTTTTAATCGAAATATTGATTATTTTATTTTATTTTTTTTCAATTGCATTGTCTACTACCTTTTTTTTGTTGAGCAATGCTAGGGGCACTCGTCTCTTGCACTCTCCGGCCAACACTTCCCCTTTCACTGGGCCACATAAGCTTGTTTCAGGCTTTGAATGCAACCTCTTACCGACCAGACTAACGTGGCCCAATAAAAGTGAAAGTGTTGGCCGGAGAGTGCAGTAGGCAAGTGCCCCTAGTACTCCTCTTTTGTGGTTGTTGCCACAAAATACTACCAATTGACTGTTAATTTTTTTTCTTTTTGCAACAAATTCTGCCAATTGACAATTGTATTTTATTCTCCAACTTTCCAATAACATTAATTTAATAAACTATCTTTCCCTTCCTCTCGTCTTTGAAATCCTCCTTCTCATCTAAAATTTTTCTCAACTGATAGTAGCAACCACCTATATCTATATCTTGACGTTTTTGGAAGCTAGCGAACTCAACTAGGTTCCAGTTACCAAGAAATTAAAGGAAACACACTAATGAGTTCAAATCAAAGTCGGGTCTGATTGCTAATCGCTTTAAATTTTTTATGTCATGACAAACCCTGAACTTTTCTAGTCATTCTTTTAATATTGTTTCCATTCCAGCCAAGTTCAAGATGACTTACATTGAGGATCTGGATGTCACACTGATAGATGTGAATTTAAGTGTATGTGTTTCAAAATTTCTATGCATTTTGATTTTTTATTTTTTTCATTTTACTTTTGCTTGTTTGAGTTTTCATCTCAATTGATAATTTTTGCTTGTTTTTTAAGAGTTACTTACCTTTTGGTTATTTTTTTATTAGATATTTGAAATTAAATGCAGGATGAGAATATGGCTTTTGATGATATTGTGCTTATTACAACGCAAGAGATTGAGAGGGGAGATAACTCAGAGAAGAATGGGTCAAAGGAGATTGAGAAAGGCAAAAAGAAAGTGTCAAAAGCAAAGGGAAAAGGAAAGGAAGTTCAAGTGCTACCGGTAATAATGGATTAAGATTAGAGGTATGGAATTATTTCAAAAAGTTTAAAGATAGTGGAGGAAAAGACAAAGCTGAATGTAACACAATTCTGTGTGCTAGCTCTAGAAGTAATAATACCTCCCCTTTGAGAGGAAATCATTTAAGATCTTGTGAGAAGAATCCTGATAACATAAAGAATCAGAAATTGCTTGTTATTAGTAAGTTTTATGTTTCTGGTGATGGAGAGGGGCAAGAGTTCACTTAAGTGACCACCTAGACATTTGATCATATATTTGTGAAAAGGGTTTTATGTGAAATTATCTAAATAATGAGAACCGTTTAGCATGGTTGAGAAGTTAGATTTTAAGAAATTCTGTGAAATTGTTCTGCCTTCCAGTTTCAAACTCCTTTGTAGGAAGACTATAACTACGTTGTGTTATGAAATATATGTTGACGAGAGAGTTCAGCTTAAAAAGTATTTCAAAGAGTCTAAGCAAAGGGTTAGTTTAACCATAGACATTTGAACATTTACCCAAAGAATATCTTACATGAGTTTAACTGCCCACTTCATTGATAGGGATTGGAAATTGCATAAAAAAATTCTAAATTTTTGTCCTATTGAATCTCACAAAGGTGAAGAGTTAGATGATTTACTTGAGTCTTGTTTGAAGGATTGGGGGATAGAGAATGTGTTTGCACTTACTGTTGACAATGCATCTACTAATGATGGGGTTGTGAAGGTGGTTAAGGACGCATTGAACAAGCAGGAAAGTAGTGTTCTAGGTAGGGATGAGTTGCATATGAGGTGTGCAGCTCATATTGTCAATCTGGTTGCGCAAGATGCTATAAAATTGATGAATTCTTCAATCAATGTATGAGGGCTATTGTGAAATACATTAGGCAGAGCCCTCAAAGATTGAATAGGTTTAAGGAAGCTACTACGATTGAGAAAACTGATTCCAAGAAGCTGTCATCCATGGATACACCAACAGGGTGGAACTCTTTGCTTTTAATGCTTGAAACAACAGAAAAGTTTGAGCTGACTTTTGAAAGGTTAGTTCTCAATTTGTTTTTCTCTTATTATTTGTTTTTTCCATTTAGTATAGTTTGTTAATTTTGTAAATTTAGTTTATCCATCTTGTTAGTATAATTTGTTTATTTTCTTTTTTCTTTTTTTTTTTTTTTTGAAGATATGCAAGGTTAGATCCAAGTATGAGGACTAAATTAAAATTAGGTTCAAATGCTCTAGGTTTCCCATCTTGCATAGATTGGGAAAATATGAGGCTTAACAAACTCTTGGAGCCATTTTTCTTAATAGAAAAAGTTTCTAAGTCTTTGTCTACTACATGCAACTTGCATTTTCTAAAGATATGTGAAGTGCATTGCCCCTTGAACTCCTAAGAAAAAGATGTAGAACTGTCCTCAATGGCAAGTAACATGAAAATTAAATTCAACAAGTGTTGGGGTGAACTAGTAAAGATGAACAAGAACATCTTCATTACTATTATCTTGGATCCAAGGCATAAACTTACCTTTGTTCAATTTATGTGGGGAAGGATGTATGGAGAAGAATTAAGAATGGTGTATGGTGAGATGGTGCAGAATGAATGCATCAAGCTGTTTGATGCGTACAAAAGAATCTTGTGTTCTGAGATGGGTTTAGAGAGGTAAATGTTTAGTTTGAGATTAATTTTTTAGTTTTATTATTTATGAACTAACATCTAATGTTTTTATCTCTTTCTTTTCTTTTCTTTTTTTTTTAATTGATACTGGATCCCAATCCTCTAGTCAACAATCAAGTGAGATTGTGGGTTGTAGCACAAGCAAAGATGTGAAACCTAACAAAAAAAAGAAAGACCTATTTGATAAGCGAGTACTCAAAGTACTTGGAGGGAATGGAAGTAAGAAGAGAGAAATTAGAATTGGAAAGATACTTTCAAGAAGAAATTAAGCCACTCATTGAGGACTTTGATGTGTTAAAATGGTCGAAGTTGCATGGCCCTAAGTTCCCAACTGTTGCTGCAATGGCTAAAGATATCTTGGCTATGCCAATCTCTACAATTGCCTCAGAATCTACAGTTAGTACTAGAGGTAGAGTGCTTGATGCATTTAGAAGCTCCTTGACACACCAAGAATGGCTCAAGCACTAATTTGTGCACAAGATTGGCTAAGGTTAGTTAAAACAACCCATTGATTCGGAGGATGAGGATGAGTTGGGGAAAGTTGAGAAAGGTAAAATATGTTATAAGTTTACAATATTTTTTGTTTAAATTTTTAGTTTGTTAAGTATTAAGTTGAATTTACTTAAATATTGGTTACAATAAATATTAGGTAAAGTAGAACTCTACTATGCTTTTTAAAGTTAGTAAAGTTAATTAGTTCTATTGTAAGTTCCTTTTAATGTTGTTTAAACCAACATATGGATTTGAATATGATTTTCTCTGATAATGACATAGGTAATGCAACAAGGAACAGGAGCTGTGGTTTATAAGGATCTTTTTTTGTGTGTAGTTTAAGATCAATTTGATGCTCTATTACTATATTGAAATACAATATAGTTTTTGTATAATTTTTTGGACAAAATTACAAAGATGATGGCAAGTTAACACTAGACATGCTTAGATGATGCACCTACTTAATTAGTTTTTGATGATGATGGCTGGATTCTAATTTTTACATAGATATTTTGTCATGGCTTTTGTTAATTGGATACAGTCTATGCAAAAAGATTGGTTTTTTGTATGCAATGTCTAAGAATGTACTAATTATCAAATATATTATTGTAAGGTCTCTATGTCTTTTCTTATAACCTCTATTTATTTTTGTTGACTCAATGTAGTCCAAGAGGGGGGTGAATTGGACCAAAAATAAAGAGAGCAGAGAAGAAGAGTGCTCAATGATTTTATAGAAGTTCGGTCCAACCACTTGGAACCTAGTCCTCTACCTTGGCTTTACTCACCAAGAATTTCCTCCACACTCTCCACTAACAACAACAAGAGTGGCTTAAAGGAGCCACTCAATTCTTTTACAAGAAAAAGGGTATTTCTCTCAAATCTCATCCCTTTACACTTAAACCCCAAAGATCCTCTCTACAAAATCACTCTTGAAGGATTAATCACACCCCCAAGATCACTCACAAATAGAACAAGGAGAGGATTACAAGTAAAGATCTCTCAAAGATCAAAAACTCAAGTTAAAGCTCATGTATGTAAGTAAAGATATTCAATACAATGCTCTCTAAACCTCCTTCAGATCTTCTACCAACTATATTTATAACCCCATGGTCGAAAATAGCCATTACTAACCGTTGGGGGTCATTCAATGCTCTACAGGACGCAAAGCTCGAGTTGCAGGATTGTCAGGAGAGTCGACTTAACTTCCTAGAGCCGGCTCACCATTTCTGCAGCCGGCTTTGCGGGATTCTGCACATTCTGTTTCCTCCATAGAGCCGGCTTCAAAATGCAAAGCCAGCTTTGCGAGTTTCCTGCACATTCTATTTTCTTTCACAGTCGGCTGCAAAGCCTAGAGTCGGCTTTAGGATTCCAACTTTAAACATTAAATAATTTTCAAATAACTCGACCGTTGTGCATTAAATGCACCCTCATAGTCGACTGCAAAGTTAAAGCCGACTCTGCTTCCTTTTTCTGCACGCGCCAAAACAACAGTTGAATTTCTGACCTGTAGAGTCGACTCAACAAAATCTGCAGTCAGCTCTTTGCATTTTTGCATCCTAGAGTCGGCTGCAATTTTCTTAAGCCAGCTCTTTGCATATTTTTACCCTTTGAGCCCTTTTTAATGCAATCTCATTTTGCTTACTTTGCAGTATATTGGCAATTTAACTACACACTTAAATAAATCAATTAGTCACTCAAATGTGTTTTGTAATCATCAAAATCATAAGTACAACAATTTTTATTTTGACAATTTGTTATTAGTATGTAGAAATATGGAGAGAGATTTTTGATTGTTGACTTGAGGATATTAAATTGAAAAGTGAA